TTGTACTGTTCTATAAGGTAAACTTCATTAAATAAAATCATTAATATAACTAGAGAAGGTGTTGCAATAAGATGACATGAAACCTGTAGCAACCGAGACCTTGGTACATGATTGAATATTTTGTCACGACTGGATATTTGCAGGAAGCATCTGAAATTTTAAGATAAGTAAATAAAAATAAAAGTTAAAATCATACCTCGTCCACAAGAATATTGCAGGCCAAGGAGGAAATCACATTACACTAAATTGAAACTAACATTCCTCTCAAAATACCTTGAAAGTTTAGTTATAAAATTTATATTTAAGATGAAATGAAAACAAACATTTCAATTATAGTTCAATCATTCATCGGATCAATTAATATGTGAAAAGGGGACGTTTTTCCTGTTACCTATGTTCTTGTGAACAAGCTAACATCATCACCATTTATTTATTTCATTATGCAATATGAAAAAATATATATAAAACGTTTAGTCCAGGAAAACTATTTATTTAAGTTCTATTTTTTAAAAAAAATAATATTTTTAAAGTTTCAAAAATTAGTACAACCTACTGAAATTTTTTATAATTTTGCTATTAATACTTTTCATGAGGAAATATCAAAAATTATTAATGAAGTATTTACTCCATGCTTTAAAATTATAGAAATAGAGCTTGATATCAGTAATAGACTGAAAAGATTTTGAATAACAAGAAATAAAACCAAAGATTAGCCACAGAGTAATTATTTTTCTCATGCTTACGTACCATGGTTTTTGTTGCATTATTTATGTTAATAAGGTAGATTATTTTTTTTTTTTATACTACACATTCATGAACAATATTCTATCGTAGAATATTGATATCCAATTCTGTTTCTTTCCATCCAATGGACTTTTGAATAAATCATACTTTAGTTTTGTTTAGTTTATGATACTCCAATAACTAGTGTTCAAAAGAATCAGACTTATGTCAGAACAAAATTGGCAAATTTTGACTAGCCTTCTTGATATTTTTCCTCTTAAGACATATCAGTGCAGACATATTCCAACCACCGCATTTATCAACAAATAAATATAATATATCTATGGTCGATAACACAATTTATATTATATAAGAACTGGAAACTATTTAACCTAGATCTGCAGATTTTTTAAGTTTACATCAACTATATGCACAAACTACAAAAGATTTAAGTGCATTAACAATAAGGAAATACAAGATTCGCACAAATCTTATTTTATTTATTTTTGAAATATGTACTTATAGCATCTGTGAATTTGACCATTAATAAATTATATTTCAAGATATTTTTAAGCATGTGAATCTAGTCTTTACTGGTGATAGGATAAGGATGATTGAGGAAAATTATTGACGATCAAAATAAACTTTAACAATAAATATTTCTTTATTTAATAAACTTACATCAACTCCACAATAATGGAATAATTCTAATTTATCACATTATCTTTAGAAACGATTTTGTTCAAAATTCAATTACAAGAAAATATAACACAATATATTAAATACAATTTAAAAAAAATAAAAACTAAAACAATTTTTTTCTCTTTGCTACAATGTGAAACAAACAAGAATAACAATCAAACTTTCAAAAAAGGAACTTAAAAAACAAACAACCTAAATATAAAAATATATTCATAAAAATGATTCAAAGGTGAATATTGTTTAACAAAGCTGTGTTGATTATAGAACAATTAAAGCTGTTTAGTAATTAGAAATTTATATGATTCTCTAAGTATCAAATATAAGGCAAAGTTGGTAAATAAGAGTGCTCCGCAGTTTTACAACTTTATATATGTAATACCTATTCTGCAAAAAACAAAAAAATAAAAAAATTGAATCAACTAAATATAAAAAGGGGGTAAGGAAAATGAGGAACGTCTATAGATAACCTTTCAAAAAAGATTGTTAAAACGTCAAGTTTCGAGGGGCTGTGATATTTGGAAACCACTTATCTTCAACTGAGTAAAAAATCTAGATAGAATTCTAATCTTTCTAATATAAAAATCAAATTAGAAACAGACTATGTTTTTACATACAAAAATTAGGATTTCAAGGGCGTATCAAATCAGTTACTACACACTAAAATACAATATGTTAACCACTACTAAATCGTATATACGCACAATTACTTTTATATTGAAATTTTTAACATGTCATTAGAAATATAATATTATCTGATAGTAAACTAAGTTCAAGTTAAATTGTCATAAAAAACAAGATAAGCAAAACATAGAACTGTTTTGAGTATCCACAATTTGATTAAAATCAAGAAAGCGCAGGCGTATTCATTCATTATTAAATTGTCACTAAAAACTATCTTTTAATTTAATTGTTCAACATGCATTTAATTTTAAAACTAGTTAATATATAAATAAAACAAATCTTATAATGAAAAAAAAAATTAAATAAATAAAAGCCACTAACAACCACATAATGAATGTATTCTCTAATTAAAAAATATAAATAATACTTTTCATTATTTCACTTTGGTATTTATTTCCTATATACAGACTTGGGGTATACGTATGAATATTAAAGGAAGTTTAAATATATATTATCTGAATTAAACAAAATTCCAAATAAAATAAAAACAAGATTAAATGTTCTTTATGTTATGAGAAGAGATAAATTACTTAAACGGATCAACGCCTTAAAATAAAATATTCCCGAAGGAAGATGAGATGACTAAATAATTCAACAAGGAATTGTGTGACCAATAATATACTGTTAATATAATTGAAGCAATAGAGGCAATTTAAATAGGTGTGTCCAATTGTTAGGCATAATGATGAATGGATCAGTATCAATGTAATCCTTACAGAACTGAATGTATAGACAAGCTTTGATTTTGTAAATGTTATTACTGGGTTTAGAAAAAAAATATTTTACTTTATGCTATATGTTAAAATTTAATTTTAACTTCTAAAATTACAAAGAACTAGAAAGCAATTTACTAACGATGTTATCCCCTCTTTTGGATTTTGAAACCTAATATATTAATAAAAAAGATGATTACCTTCACAGCATGATTGTCATCTAAATCAATTATAATAGTTTGATTTGATTTACTAGAGCCAAATATTCATATTAAGCAACAATTTTTTATTAAAGTATATTCATATTAAATTACTACAGATAAATGTAGTTATAATAATTATTAATTATATAATTCATATTTTTATTTAAAAAAAAAAAAAACTTCAATGCTGTTACAATAATCCCTCAATCAAAAATAGTTGGAAAAGTTTTTGATGATATTATAAAATTTATTTCAAACAAGCTTAATACATGTAAACTAATCTATTATATGTAAAGTAATATTGAAATTGAATTTTGCTGAATCAACTTGTATCATGTCAAATTTGAGATAATGGATAAAAAATTTAACTACATCAAGCTTCTTTTTTAAAAAATTGACATTTTTTTAAATTAATGAAATGAAAATTACTTACTAATACATACATTTAACCATTATTAAACCATGTTTAATCCCTTAAGATATCCAAGTGAATACTACTACATTTTTATAAATTGGCACTAGCATTTGATCTGAAATTTAGAAATTCACAAAAAACCCCATCAAAAAAACTTTTATATCATGAAGTATTTCAAGGTGCGTTTAGGCATTTCACAAACTATGAGAAACACGATTATCTGAATCAACTAACAGCGAAATTTTCGTTAAACCAAACTATTTATTTTATTTCTCTTTGACAGTAGATGGAAAATATCAAGAAACAAAAATACTCGAATAATGAAATAATCATTTATATACTTGTTGGTTTCATAGTTTGTAAAATGTCTAAATGCACCCTTAAATCATGTAAACGGTCCAGGCAATCATAAGTATGAGATAAAGAGAAAAAAAAAACCTAAAAAGGAATCAGTTAACATGTAATGTACAGTAAAAAACTATTCATTAATAATTTGTCTCCTATAAATTAATATTAAAATTGTGTAGTAATTTTATAATATAATTTTCACGACAAAATATTTAGATAGCATTGAATATAATTTTGATAATGAAATATATAGATAGCAGTGAATACAACTGGCCTTGAAAGCTCCAAAGGCTGACCTTGAGAAGTCAATATTAAAAAATTATCTCATTACTTAATACATAGTGAATCTTTTAATTTATAAACTTAAAAATGTAAAAAAAATAAATTAAATAAAAATGCTTTTGTTCTATAAAGTATAACTGTTATTTGTTCGTTTAAAAAAGTGTAAACTATTAAAATTAAATGCATTTATATTTCTAACTTAATAATCAAATGCAGCCTAGAGAAGCAATGTTTAACTTCTTGCTATTTATATCGAACCGAATTATATTTTGTTTTTATTAATAGAATTATCAGGATCAAAATTCCGCCTGTATTTGTCTATTCATCAAGACCTATTTTCACTCAAAAGGGTATTTTAAATTCAACATGGCAGAAAATTGTATGTTGTTAAAAAGGTGTCAACCAAAGCCTTTAATATAGAGTTCGATGACATTCCCAGGGCATTAAAACCTATAATTTATTATTATTATTTAAAAATTATAAGTGAATTTGTATTATATTTAATGAAAACTAAACAGCCTCTCTTTGATATATTGACTTTGATAGCAAAACCCTTTACAACACTGCCTTTTTGAACTTATTTTATACAACCAAATTATCCTTTTTTGGCATTACTATATAAAAAAACAAAACAAACTGCCTTAATTAACAAACTTGCATTTCTTAGCTCAAAAAATTCCCTGACTTTCCAAGATTTTCCAGGGTCTGATCGACATTCCCCAGCAGATGAATGAACACATCTTCATTCATTATGAAAGATGTTCATTCATTTGATCAATTTATAATTCACTGCCTTCATAATACTTATATCACACTAACAATGGCCTGCACCATTAATATCAATACCTCATTTATCACTATTTACATATAAAGTTGAAACATAATTTTGTTCATTCCTATGACTACATAATCAACAAATATATGATTTGATTTTTTTTTTTTTTATTGAGAAATATGTATAAGAAATTATATCAAGTCCACAAAACTAATATTAAAAATGTTAATAACCATAGACAGTATAAAGTATTACAGGGCGAGAGGTCATATCGTGAAATGAGAGTAGTGGAAGGTTTAAAGACCAACGCGCTAAAATACTGGGTGCAGAGAAATGTCCGAATCCTCCAAAATGGTGATAAGATTCTTAATAGGTGACTCTATAAGCATCTAAAACAACAACAAGAGAATACTTAATACTAAAAAATTCATTAATAATAAAATATCTATAAATAACAATCATAAATCCTATTAACAATTCAAACATATTAAAAGAAGGCTATAAATTTGATCGAAACAAAGTTTAAAATTGTTCTTCATTTACTAAATTTATAATTAAACCAATAAGTTTATTTTTAAATGTTTGCATATATCATTGGATGTATGGCAAATTAGCAAAAGTACAAATCATAAACTTTTCATTTAAGGAAGTTAGTCGACTGTACTACTTATCACAGAAGATAAATATTAAGGAAGCAGTAATTTTATTAGATTTTTAATTGTTGTCTATGTTTCAACCCAAAACTGTGGGTCATCATCAGGGCATGTTTGGGTTAAAATGTCGACAACAATAAAAAATCTCAAAAATGACTGCTTTCTAAGTTTTTATATTCTGCCATAATTTTTTCCAGTAAAGCAACAGTTCTTATATTATAGTTATTTATTTAAATCTTACATAGAGATTATTTACATAACTTTTGATAAATGGTTAACATGTTATCATGCTTAGCATGAATCTTGAATGAAAGGATCCTACTAAAGTGTTAAGTGCTATTGCAAATTGAAATCTCCAATCACGATAACTTGGTTTCACAAGTTGATTTCAATGTTTAATAGTTTTATTTTCTTTCATTTCAACACTGGTTTTTAGTCAAAGTGAGGCAATCCTAAATTTATAAAGAATTAAAAATAAAATTATTCACCTCATCCAATTCATGATTATAGTCCTTGGTACAGACCCCTTTTTATCAAATTATTTTTTATTTATTTATTTAGAAAAATAATAATCTGGCACGTGGGCAATAATTATAGTGAGATATGAACACATTCACACAATTATTAACATAATTATAATAATCCACACCTTTTAGGCTATACAGGAATTTTCCCGTGCTAGAGAAGGAGGTAGAGGATTAATGCCACAGTTAAAAACTCCATCAGCAGCGGGATGCGAAATTGTAATTATTTTTATCAAATTATCTTTTATCAGGTTGCCTGGCAACACGGAGCTGTGTACACAAATTAGGCTGCTTGCACACAGTCCCTAATATAAGAAAAAAGGTTTTTTTTTACTCGTCTTTTAGTGTATACGTGGTTTTTCCCAGGCTGAGAGAAATATGCCAAGTTAAAAGTCCGACTGGCACCGGTATTCGAACTCATAATCTTTGGTTTATTATCAGGATGCCAAGGCAATGCGTGTTTTACACAATGCGTTATATCGTCCCCACAAAAAGATTTAGAATGACCCAACATTGAACTGAATACATTAATATCGGAAGTCTAGTACTTTAACCACTGTGTACATCGAAAAAAAAAAAAAAAAAAAAAAAACTGTACCACGGACTATTACGGATTAGAGGATATTTTGAAGTTTTCTGGATTCTTTCCTTCTTTTATTATACACCATTCCACTTTAAATAAAACTAATAATCACAAGATAAAAAAATAAATAAAAAACCCTGTGACATTACACCCTATGTAGAATTTAAGGTAAGGAAGTATCGTTTCAAGTCCAACGGTTGAGCAGGGAGGTGATTGGGCTAAGAACACGCTCAATCGACAAGTTTTCCCCTTAATTAATTAACTAAGCGTACCTACTTTATAGGGTCTGTGTATGCAAAATAAATAATAATCGGCTACAGCTGGACTCGAACCTAGGTCCTTGTATAATAGCACAGTGCTGTACAGAGTTACCCCAACAAAATGACTATAAATATGTTAAATAAGTTTCTCGATTTACAAGATTTGACAAACTTAGCACTAGCTGCATAAATACACCTTTTATCTAATTTATATTTAATAAATATTCCATCAATAATATTTATTTTTGGTCAGGTTTTATGATTTTCGAGAAATATAGATATGATACTAAGCTAAGTATATATTTTACAATCAAGAAATAATTGCTAATCTTTTTATCACAGAGCTAGAAAGAAATTTAAGGCACAGAGATAGTATGCGACAAACTCTAGGATTTTTTTTTTTTTTTTCTGTTTCGCTACTTTGTCAAACATCCAACAATAAACAGACAAATACATATGCGTATAAATATCAATTTGAAAATTACTATAATTCTACAATCGTTCAGAAATAAATAATTTTTGTTTGGAGTCGATATAACTAGTCAGTGTATTTTAAATATAATGTAATAAATAAAACTGAGAGTGAATCAAAGTAAAATAAAACAAAAAAAAACAACCTAAAATGTTCTAAAGAAAAGGTAACATTTGAAATGAAAAAAATAAAATAAAAATAATAGCAATATTGAAATTTTATGTTAAACTAATGTGTAAATTATATAACGCTGATCTGACTGAGTGTTTCACAAGAAGGCGTCCTCATTCCCTGTGCCTTCGTAAATAGCTGCTCGTCTCCGTAACTTCTAGCTCTCCACAAAAGAGATTCTCCTAAAAAAGAAGAATAACTTTTAAATGAAAACTAAGCTTTCTGAATATCTTTTTCAATCTAACTTTAGACAATTATTACTTATTAACTAGGAATGTAAAGATTGTTGATGGATTATACAGTGAAGATTTGGTAATGAGCAACAGGGTTAAAAAAAAGCTAATAAGTGATAACGTGTTCTGTAATAAATATTGAGAAATCCATTTTTGAAATCAGTTAACAAATAAGATAAATAGAGAAACGAAGCATTCTTTTGCTACTTTCCCTTTTAAACTTTTAAAAATGTGGAAGTTGTTACTTTAGAATATATATATGTCAGATCATGTGAGTTGCTTATTTCTAAACTGAACCCTTACCGATTATTTTGGAAATAGAGGTTAATATCAATTTCTATGTAAAAAAAAAAAAAAAAAAATGAATCCGATGATTTTATTAGTTTTTTTCAAAAATGAATCTAAATTTTTTAAAAAAGTGGAGCAAAATAAGTTTATTTCCAAAATTGATCTGTTTGTTTTCAAGTAATGTGATGATACTTGCATTTCCAATGTATTTAAAGAAAAAAATCATTAAAGAATTTTTTTAAACTAGTTAAAACAAAAAGTAAAAATAAATTAATTTAATTGTAAATACGTTGTTTAATATTATTGTTTAATAACTTTTATAGAACAGTTTTAATTTTTTTTTTTCTCCCGAATCATGCACTGTTTTTTCTAACAAAACCGAAACCCAATAAACCTTTTTTTCTTTTTTCAAAAATGGGTCTTTCAATGGTGTTTCCAAGTTTAATTTATTCCAAAAGTTATCCTATCTAATTGTTTTGTTTTTTTAATTTCTATTAAAATAATCAACAATTTTCAGAAATATGTTACAAATAAAGAATTATCTCAATTTCTTTTTTTTAAAATACTGGTTTTGATATTAGAATTGGGTATAAAAAATATAGTTATTCAGGTTGTCAATAGGATTCACTTGTGAAATAAATGACAGATATACAAGTAATAATTTCAAATTTGACTTAAATTAATTTAAAAAGTTTCAAAAATTAACTTACGATATTGCTTTTCCCTAAAGCAAGCATTTCTCAGATTGGCTATAAATTCCTCTTCCACCGAAGCTTCTAGCCTACGTATACTGCCCTGATATGTGGATGCGAAATTTTCCTTAACGTAATAAGGTACTTTCAATGACATGGTTGTTTTCATTACAGGAAACTTGCTATAATTAAAAAAAAAAATTAATTGTCAATGATAGCAAGAAAAAATAGAAAGATAGATAAATAAATTACTTTATTCTGAGACAAAGTCCCTTAAGGGTTCTGGTCCATTAGGGTAGCCAATTAGGTGGTCAAGGGTAGCCGGGCGGGGCGGACTGCTACCTGCCAATGTTTATAACCTCAACACTGATAATTCTGATAAGGCACTGATAAGCCTTCTTGTAATTCCTATCTTCGTATTCATATTTATTGTATTATATTCGTATTATTGAAATTAAAAACGAAATCCTCTAACCCTCTAACCACGTTCCTATCCTTATTGAAACTTTTATGTTACAAGTGCTACAACATCTCCATTTCGCTCCATTTAACTTTATTTGATGACCTTGTTCACACAATTTCACTTTCGCAAGTATCCCAACGTTTTGAAAATATTCAATAGCCTGTTCTTCTGAAGACTGTAATTCTCAGAATGTAACAAGATTCATAATTTGACAAAAATAACACAAACGGGCCAAAAGAATATAATAACTGAATGTAATAGGTGAATAACTGAAAAATAAACAATGTAATAACTGAAAGGTTTGGGGAGATAAGAAGAGGGAGGTTATGTGACGTGACGTTAGATAACATAGATAACAAGTGAGGTTTCGTCCCGCCCGGCTAATGTACCAGTACCCCATTAAGATTAACAAAATATTACAGAACAAAGGAATACTTGCGGCCTAGAGAACTACATTAAATAAGTAAAATATTTTAATAGGAATTTTTCTTAGTTATATCAGATTACATTAAATTTAAAAACTAATATGCAATAAGTTATATCATAACCGCAATGCTAAAATCACACTTGTACACCAGATCATCGATTCATTGCAAAAAAAAAAGTTGTTAAGTACATTTTTGATGAAGTTCAACTATTAAGAACATCTTCGTGAATTTCTACCTTATTTATTGATAACAACAGCAGGTGAACTAAAATGATCCAAACACAATAGTATTTTATCTTAATTTGATATATATTATATTATAATATAATATATATCAAATAAAGTTAAAACACGCACACAATTAGCTGATTTCACAAATTGAGAATTCATCAAGTTCTAAGTGATATAAGATTATAAAATGTCGCCTAATGGCTTTGCAATAAACTGACGATATGTACTATAACATGTCAGAATGATTATCATTTCATTGTGTATCAGTAAATCAATAATAATATATCTATTTTTGATTACTGTTAACAATGAGAAATATTTAATTATTTAAAATAAACAAAGTGAAAGGTACTTTAGAGTATAAAATTTTGGGAATTCGGGAAGTCCTTTCCTAATATTTTAATGACAATACTACCTAGTTGATATTTAATTGTACATCGATATAACAAGTTTAGTTAAAACCATTAAGAGCAGTTTTTGAGAAAATAGTAAAAATTTGTAAAATCAATAATATAAAGTAGTACTGCACTTCAGTTCAATTTTAGTGAACAAATAGCTGTAATACCCGAGACAAATACCTACCTTAAATATGAAATTTAAGTTTATATTTTTGAGGAACTAGGCTCTCTACATACACACTCTTTCTTCAATCACGATATCCATGTCTTGATGGACTTCCCACACCTTAGAGGAGCGTGTCATCCATCTAATACAAATGATCTAGCATTTTCAGCCACTCCATTTCCTATTTGTATTTCTTTTCATAACCATACATTAAAGCTCGGTCAAATGGGAAGTAGAATGTCTGCGCAGATGAAACGACTACAGTCCATTGCGGACTAAGATAACCAAAAAGAATGCGGACAAGTCGTGATGATGCAGTATCATAAGTCGCTATCTTCCTTTACTTTCGATGGCACTACGTTCCTTGCAGAACACTGGCCTCCACAACAATTCTCGACCTTCCGACTCCAAGTGTCCTCAAGTCCTCCTGCACATCCTCCAGCCATCAAAATCTTGAACGCCCTCTTCCTTGCCCTCCACCAGGATGACTCTCCAGAAGCTTCTTCGGGATATGCTGCTCCTCAATCCTCTGAAGTCAACAGTAGCTCCAGCAGGCTTAGTTAGACAGCCTACTGCGACAGGGTGGACGAGACTCTAAAGCTTTGGTATTCAACTTGTCTTCAAATAGAGTTCCTCTATGTCAATACTCCTGGTCTGGGGGTTTAGTCTGGGCTGACACTCCTTTCTTGTAAAAAAACAAACAAATGTTGCGAACACTCTACAAAGAAAAAACCGGATAACCTCTATAGAAATGACATGGAACTCGGAAAAGGAAAAAAATAAGTCGCTATCTACCGTATTTAATGTATGATTGCTATTGTAGGAATTCTGTCTTGATTTACAGTTTTCTTTTCTTGTTTTCAATTTAACTTAGGCAATTTCTCTGGTAAAGCATTGTTCGTTTCGAGAACAAAAAAAAAAAAAGTACAGGAAGTTTCGAGTACAGGAAGATAAAAAATAAAATGTGTGCATGAATTGAATAATAAAAGAGAAAAGTTTCATCAATTATGCTTTAATATATGTCAGTTACAATATTTCTTCACATGTTTCTACTTTCTTCACTATATCTTTCTAGTCCGGGGGATGAGGTTCATATAAAAAACATAATCCTGCACAAGATTTAATAATTTTTGTTTCTTGTCAGACCGTGCGGATTTTATAATAGATTGCAAGTGGCTCTCTATTTGCTGCAGACTATAAACACTGGACTGGTCTACTTAGGAAGGTAGTCTTCAGCCCAACGGAGCCTCTAAGACCATGTTATAGCAACATTTTATTATCAAAAAAAATTTTTTTTTTTAAACTAATTATTTATGTGACTGGGAATATTGAAATTCTAAGTTTTAATAAATAAAAAAGACAAAATAAATTTACAGTTATTTAAAAATAAAAGATATGAGTATCAATATCGATAACTGCTTAACACCTTTGCTAGGCTAGTTTTATAGAAAATAGTTACCTGACACATAATAAAAATGCTAACATCGATCAAAACTATTCCTTCTTATAAAATGATAAAATTATAATAAGAGACTGAGAAAGGTCATTTTCTAGTTCAACTCACCGACTAATAAATGTTCATCGATATTTTTCATTTTAAGCTAATTTCATTGAGAGATTGAACTTCTTCTATTTAATATAGACATGAGACAAAATGTATATACATTTATTATTATTATTTTTTTAGGTGCCGCAGAGGGAATGTATCTAGGTTGAATATCTATTAAAAGACATACCTGTAAGAAGAAGGAAAACAAGATAGTATCTTTTTGGCATTAAACACTACTTTTATTAATCAAATTTATATAAATATATTTCCTACATCGTATTTTATTCACATGTATTTTTCCTAAACCAGGTTTTTAAAATAAACCATTTTCGAAATAATGCACCAGCTAAACTCTAGTAATAGGCACCTAGACGCCACGGTTGCCAAGGGATTCTTATCACATATTGTTTGGCTTTAACAACAATATATTTAATCTATTGTTTTGTGTATGATACAACTAAATAATACTGTTTTCATAATGATGTAGAGATGGTTGAACGTTGATGATATAATATGCGAAGGAGTTGATCGGAGGGTGCGGTCAAATAAATACTAAATTAACCAAATAGTATTATTTAATTTGTGCCGACGTTTCGACCCACTTTGCAGGTCTTCATCAGGGCGTAGGATGTAGCACTGCGGGAGGCAATTAATAAAATTAAATAATACTATTTGTTCAATTTAGTATTTATTTGACCGCACCCCCCGATCAACTCCTTCGCATAAATAATACTGTGTATGAGAAAGGGCAACATCAAATATAAGTTAATGTATAATATTAGACTGTGAATTTTTCTTGAAATATAGAAGAAAGACCTTTTAGTTCAGTCTCATTTTTTGTTTTTATTTATTTTCTACATGTAATGAATAAGCCATAAAAAAACAAAATGAGACTGTATACTAAACGGGTATTCTTCTACATATAAGTAAGTATATAATAAATTTATATAAAATAAGATGGATTATTTAGAAATTTATATGAAATTTATCCAGCATATTTTAAAAGCAAATAGAGCCGTGCTGAGGGTAGAATTATTGCAAAAGAAAAAGCAGTAGAAAATCCTACATATCAAGAAATAAGGGATGTGTTATCAGCAGGCTGGTTGGAAAGTAGATGTTGAAAACAAACTTTACAGTAGAGAAAAAAATAAAGAACTTCTTTACAGAGGTTGAATAAGAGTTCAGTTGAAAAACGACAATGGTACTCCACTAAGCTGTCGGAATAGTTTTGAACACAAGACAGAACCAATAGGCAAATGATTAGCTCTGCCAAACACGAAGATATTAAAAGTCATCTTGAAACATGGTTCATTCAGGCTCAAAATTTGTTTCTTAGTTGTTTTTTTTTTTGTTATTATAATCCTGTTATAATGCTCTTGTATAATATAATATATTATATAAATATAATATAGTAATCCTGGTCATTTTCTCATGGATCTAGAAGAAAGATTACATTATAGAACTTTTTGAATATATCACCATTATCTAAGAATAATCCTGCACCACTTATAAATAAGTAAAACATATAAGGATAAAAATTAATTTTATTTGAAGGATTGAGAAAAGAATCTATATTAAGGCCAGGTCAGTAACATATGCAATGTTAAATTTATTTTTAATTCAATTTAAAAATATTTAAGCTCAATTTTTGTCTACATAAAGGGAATATGAATGACCAAGACAAAATTGGGTGTTTATCAATCAACACAGCATGGTTGGAGCCACTGCCATGGTATGAGCTGTACGATGGCATGACTTTTGCTGTCTTGCTAGTACTGCCACACTATTAGATTTTTTGTGATAGTTTACAATATCAGTCACAGGTTGATAACTATTCTCACAGTAACTGCATGTGCAAACGCCTACCAGCCTACGAAATGTCACATCTTATTTAACCTAATCAAATGAAATGGTGATTGTGTGAGAAAACATTGTTCTCATATAAGCGATTGAATTTCCAAACTGTCATCACCATTTTCAATTTTTTTTTTTTTTATTGACATGTTCTAGATTATAACTAGAAAAAATTTCATCCGAAAGAAGTTATATCAATAATGTGTGATATTTTATCTCACCATCAAAAACGTTGGAATAACCTTTAATCAAATGTTATTGTGAAAAAAATCATGTATCCAATATCTCCCACCATACCATTTTCACTTTAAAACAAAATTATCTCCGTCACCTATTTCCTTTTGAAAGCTGTAGGCTCATGTTCACCTCTGGGGATCTTGAGGTAAAACTAAAAGGGTAGATAAATTGCTTTATACGGTTCATCTTCGGGATCTCAAAGGATCCATCTGTCACCTGTTTTTATGAAGACTTGAAGTGGCTTTATCCTTCCTATTGTCATAAGTATTTCCTGGCATTGTTCCTCTTTCAAGTCATCTAATCCTGCTATCATTCATACATCTCTGAGCTCCTTCAATTCAAATCCTCTGTTCAATCCTGCAATACTCGTTCTCGGCCTTCAGATTTATATACAAGGTGCCACCGAACCGCTGCTTTTGACTGATCATTCATTATTCAATCCTCATCCCTACGGAATCCCATCCTTTTCTAAATCGACCGCTCCAAAAACCTCCCTCTCACCTTTAAATATTGTCTGTTTAATAACTTCCATTTCATATTCTCCATAAAATTGTAAGTATGTATATAAATTACTAGTTCATTTTTAATTACTCTTATTTTGTTTCTTAATCGATTAAAGCTAGAAGTTTTAACTCATATCTCTGAGGCTCCTATGCCCACATTTTTATCTTTATATAACATCCTAAAGGGACTTGTCCCAGATAAATGATATATTATTATTATTAAAACTGCCTTTGGAAGAAATCAATTCATTACATTCTAATCTAATAACGAAACTGATTAAATTAAAAGATAAAGAAATAGGATATAAAACAGGGAGTCATTATGCCTATCTAATAAACAAAGTAGATATATAAAAATAAATAAAAGAATTCGAGTTAGACCCTTTGCCCAAAGTTTAATTTCAGTATCTGACTAGATTCTCCCTAGAGGAGACTAAAATATGGTTTCAAGATAATATATTCAACATTGAAAATGGTTAAATACATATAATAATAGTAGTAATTAAATAAATAATAAATTTAAAATTACTGCATTTTAGGAATAGGACAATAATAAAAAAATAATATAATATGACAAGTCTTATGGAGAATAAGATGATGTGGGATACTGGTAAGATTGGCAAAACAAATTAAATTGTTATTGTTTGTAGTTATATTATAATAAATGCTGCATTGTTTGTATATAATTGTTGGTAGTGATAAAGTTGTTATTTCTAGTCTGAAGATGGGACATAAAAGCGGATCCCGAAATGTTATATGTAATGATATAATTGAGAGGAATGATTTTGGGAGAATAAATCACGATACCAATATTCTTACTTATATATAAAGAAATAAGTTTTTTATGATAACAATGTGAATATAATAAAAAGAATTATACAATAATAAAACAGTACAGTAATTTTATAATAGTAATATTACCTGTTCTGGGTGAGACTGTAGACAGGATCGGACACCAGGAGAGAGCTCATCATAGATAGCGCCACTAGGATCAACAACGGTAGCATTTGCATCAATATACTGTAATTATTTGTCTGTAAACAATAACAAATAATTACATTAGAACAATAAAATATATTAAATATGAAAAATAACAGTAGTAAAAAGAAAATTTTAATGAGAAATCAAAAAGCATTTACATACCGACGTAAATTTTCATCTTTGTCAATATTTCTGTACTTGTTCCAATCCATTAATGTAGGAAATTTAAGACTAAAACGTTAGGCAAAGCACAGAGATATAGTGAAGAAAATGGATAGTAAAAGGGTTGTTCAAGATAGTTTCCAATATCCCAAATATTAAATAAATGACATGAAGTCGTAATTGTCTAGTTTAGACTTTAGAACCTTAAGAGCCAAAGTCACCATTAAAGGCATCAGAAAATATATAAAAGAATCAGAGTTATATTTAAGTTAATAATATTTTGAACAGAATTTACTGAATATCAAATACCGTATCATATATACAGTTGTGTAAATAATTAACATGCAATAAATAAGAATTTTAATTAATGAGGACGATGTGTTTACATTTCAATATGAAATTTGGTGGTAGTTTATTTTAAAAATCTACAAGTTCCTGTAACACATTTAAAAGAAATTTTTAATCATCTGTAAAATTTTTTCCTTTCTGAATCGCTCATTACAATGCTGACATTATTAATGTTACTATCTAGTTTATTAATATAACTAGATAGTTTTTAGTTAGTGTTTAGTAAGTAGCAGTAATTTTTTAAAACTTTTCTGAATTGCTTTCCTTACTTTCTTTTACTAAAGGGATATGTTGTGTATCTGTACTTATCATTTGCAAATAGCTCTTGGTAAAAAAGGTATATGGGTATATATTACTACCTCTAATAATATTGGTGGTAAAGATTATACATATATATACTATCAAGAGCATATATATACTATATGGTAGTTTTGATTAAAAAAACGATTAGCCAACAGATAGCCCAGTATATTGTATTGTTGTTCATTGAATATAGGAGGGTCTCGATAATCTAAAACTCCCAGTAATCTAAAAAAAAAAAGAGGCTAAACTTGACAGACAATAGACGGAATGAAAAGGACTCTCTTTTCCAGTACATATTCCTGGAATTGCTTTACGTGGTAGTGTCGAAATGGTATTATGGTGTCTCTAAACAGAATAAATTAAAACTAGGCATTCATCCAAAAGTTCAGAAATCTCTTTATACGTGGTTTTTGCAGCAGAGATCATGAGGGTGTCTGATTTCTGGGGATATATTAAAAGTCAGTTTTTCTTCAGTAATTTTTTTAAGGACGATAAAGAAGGCCTGATAATTTCAAAAGCAGGTATGGAATACAGTTTTATTAATTTTTATTACACTGGAAAATTTCTTTATACCCAATTTTATTTTTCCTTACAGGCAAGTCATAGAAACACCACAAAGGCAGTTCATATTTGCTTGGAGTGGAAGAATGGTACAACATCGACTACCGAAGCCAACAAATTCAGAGGCTCAACATATATTAAATGATAATTTTCAGAAATAATTTTGTTGTTTGCCAAGTATTTATATTTAATTGATAATACGTATATTTTCGTTACCAGCAATTTTTCTATCATTTTAAATTTAACCTTTGATAATCCGAACAGGCAATGCAATCTAAGTGTTGGGTTTGTTCAAGACCGTACTCAAATTAATTATTTGTGGCATTTATTTATATAAATTTGTTGTAAGGTTACATTGTCTACATATCATTTTCTCAACAAATAAAGATATTTTAGGGTCTGTAAAAATAAAATATTAATTTAAATTGTAAATGATTATTTAATTGTTAAATTTACAGTTGTTATTCATCGAGAATGCCTGAAAAAATGAAAGATTTAGTGCCTGAATAGGAATAAACAAAAAAAAGTATGAAGATAGAGAAGAATGTATTCTCGCTCATAGGAAATAATGATGGAATCTACTTATTCAAAGTATTTCTTCACTTTCTGGTTTATTCACTGCCTAAGTTTATAATTTCAAGTATAAGTAAATATCTTATTTATAGCAGTTTATTAAATTAATCTCTTCTCACCTATGTATCTCCTATTATACCTCTTACCTCTTAATCTCCTCTATATACCTTTCACCTTTTTAATTTTAATTCTTTATAATTAAATGTTTATAGTTTCTCGTAACTATTGTTATCTTTTTTTTAGAAGGTTTAAAATTAGGGCCGAAACATCGGTAAAAATAAAAATAAATATAATTGATGGCCTAATAGTTTTCTAACTTTTATTATCAAATTTAACCATAAATATTTCAATCTTTCTGTTGAATGTTGACATAACTGTCTTTAAATCAAATAAATAAATTTAAAAATGAAAAAATAAATAAAAGAAAAAAAGTATTTTAATAATAGGAAGCCTTAAAATCAAACTTCTAGATAATTTTTTTCCAACTATTTTTATGACAAAAAAGACACATTTTTTTTTGTCAAAAACAAAAACAATTTACAGTACGTCAGCATATTATTTATTATTTATTTGACACGAAACAGCCCTGAAGGACTACGCGACTATGACTGGTTTCTTTTTCAATTTTTTCCTTTCTGCCCACCTCTGCTTGAGGATATCGCTAAATTTTTACTTCCTCTCCTCCGTCCACTTACTCCTGGACGGAAGTTCCTTACTGTCCACCACATGCACCGCACTTTTCAGGAATTTCTTGTATTTTGCCCTATCCTCACATAATTCCAGTGTTATCCCAAGCCTCTGTATTTCCTGTTTTATTTGTACCATATATCCATGGTTAAACTTGTATCCCATAACCCTACTAAAAATCTTCTTGTTTAACCTCTCCTCGGTAATCCTTTGCATGTGTCCATAAAACCTAAGTCAAGTCTTCTTACCCTCATTTCCGTTTCCAAATCAGAGGTTTCACTGTAAACCTCCTTATTGGCTTTCAATCTGTATCCTTCTGGTGTTATTTTGGGCCCATGGATTCTTCTAAGAATCCTTTTTTCTATTTTCAGCAGTTTCTCTAAATTGGAGAAGAACATTGTCTCCGTTCCATACAGTATCAATGGCTTTACCACTGTATTGTAGTGTCTCATTTTTGATTTTTTATTATATATGCTACTCGTTAAGTAGCATAATTTCTCCAAATTTTTAATCCTATACTCCATGCTTTCTTTCTCCGATAAATTTCTGCTGATTATTTCGCCCAAGTATTTAAACCTTTAAAACAGCTTGATTTTACCGAATTCTGTTTTTATTTCTGTCTTCAGCATATACTGTAATATCTCTGATATTTTATGACTAGTAATATGACCTCGTGGATCATTTTATACTATAGCGATACTTCCAAAAGAAATAGTGAGATAGTTAAATAAAAAATAAATTATAAGAATATAAATATATTAAATTGAAATTTATAATTATTTTATATCAGGTATGGGTTACTGACAATCAGATCAAAATACTCGGACAAACTAACGTTAACCACACTAAATACTATTTATACTAAAATTAAACACTGATTTTAAAATAAAGTCAAGTATGAACACTGTTTCTGAATACAATTATAGTGTTTCTTCCTTTGTTGTAACATTTTCTTATCTTTGGCCAAACACATCTTCCAAAATGGTGACACTTTCATCTACTCAACTCAAGCTCCCTGGGAGATCCTCTCTCTCTCTCTCTCTCTCTTGTAGTTCCAAACAACTAGTCCTCCAGCCAAACGACGACTTGCAAGATGGTGATACTATAGTGGGTTTTACCCACTGGAGCCAGGATCCCTTCTCATTTTATCATACACTGTTACCTAAATTCCCGGGGCTAAAGGTCAGCATGACTCTTAGCCACTCGAGTTATTTTTCTCCAGTTCTCTCTTCCAATTGCGAATTCCTAACTTCCTTGCGTCTCTCTTCACTTCATCCTTCTTGGATTTCCTCTTCCCATTGAAGTGCCCTACTAGTATTTTCTTCTGCACTCGTTCATGCTCCATTCTACCCGCCTCAGCCTACTTGCCTTGATTTTCCACGCTGTTACCAAGTAATATAAGGCAAGAAATATTTCCATCAAGTTCCTCCCTTAATTTATTTACTAGTAGGCCCGTGCGAAAAATTCGCACAGCATATTGTTTTCAAATGCCTAATTATTAAGAAGAAAAAAAAATAATGCCACGTATCAAAAGATAAGAAAATCAATTGTTACTTTATCGATAAATATAAATGAGAAAGGAAACAAAAATTATTTTAAATCTTCATTAATGTTTGGAACCAACATGTATTTAAGCTGTATCTTTGCTAAAAATTGTCCGATTTCGATGATTTGTTTCCCCTTTTGTAGTGGATTTAGTAATCTTTTATATGATCATGGGCATAACCAAGGGAAAAGTGTGTAATTTTTTAGCTATTCGCAAATAAAGTGTTTTCTTTCATAACTTGTTTGCCTGAATTTTGGGGTTGATTGGACTATTTTGCCCGCCTGAAGGAGAAGGAAGCCTTCGAAATTGGTGGCTCAATCTTGAGATTTGGTGAAGAATTAAAGATGATATGGCTTGCCGATCAAAAACACCATCGATAAATAATATAAACTCCTCCTCTCTCGATCATTGAGGCCTCAAGTCGACGAAATGAGACTTGTATTCAACGACAGTACTACAATTAATGTAAGGTTGTGTGGATGGGAACCCTATGCCTTGCGTTATCTCGAAAATAGTATGTTTTTGGGCTTAAAAACGCAGGATCCGATAGTTCTGGAGGAACTATCCGGGTCTTGCTGTAGGCGTCAAATTTTTCAAGGTCCAATTTGTCCCGCATCAATCTACAGACCTACCACCGTTCCTGTACTGAAGCCTAGCAAAATGTTTGTATCGACTTTATTTATTTTAGAAAGAAAAACAAAAGTGGAGAATACGATTCGCTAACCCCCGTGAAATTCTGAATCCAACGGTACACCATTCATGGTATTTGAACACGACAGGAGTTATATTTGGTACAAAACCGATTTCGAGCCTTACTGTAATAATATATGTACGGATATTTTTCTAATGTTAAAATATATATAAAGCCAAAAATCTATCTATATAAAGTGGGCTAGATACTTGTCACAATATGTTATTTTTTTTTAAATTTCTCTAACCTATATTTTTTCCTCCCCTTTTTGGCTATATAGTGTTTTTCCTGGACCAGAAGAAAGTGTGGAGGATTATTGTCAGAGTTCAAAGTCCTCCGGCACCGGGATTTGAACTTGCAATCTTCAGTTTATCACGTTGCCAGGCAACTCATAATTTGCACATGAGTTAGCCAGCCCTGTCACCTCGCCCTGTCTCGTTTACCTATAAATGAGATAAATAGAAAGGGAAAGTATAGCGACTGAAAACATTTTTGAATCCTGAGTTTTTTTTATGGAAATACACATTTTGAGATTCCCGTAGTCCAAAAAACAAGTTTACAAAATGTCCTGAGAGCGTGTGAACAGTAGGTTTTATCTTCAACAAAAGTTTAACAGAAATTAAATGTCAAATATTCAATATTTCATCCACTAAAGCACGTTTAATTTTTTTTTATTTAAAAGACTTATCTACGCTCTCAAAACGCCCTGAGAGCGCATGAACAGCACGTTTTATCTTCAACGAAATAGTTTAACAGAAATTAAATGACAAATTTTCAATATTTCATCCACTAAAGTAGGTTTAATTTTTTTTGTTTATTTAAAAGAACTTATCTAACCGGAGAATTCAGACGGTTACACAACGCCGAATTGTGTGAACTGTATCCGGGTAATATAATTGAGATAATCTCATCGAGGCGAATCAAATGGGCTTGGTAACGAGAGAATTCCTAAAAGGTTAATATTTGCTGTACTGAATGGTAAACGTCCAAGGGATAGACCGAAGCGAAGATGGGAAGATTGCATTAAAGCCGATCTAAAGGGACTGGGTTTGGACGGCGAACGGTGGAGGGAGGTGTGTAATAAGCGATTGGTGATGTTGGCATCAAACCTTCGGGTTCACTAACCCTTTTATTATTACTATTAAAAGAACTTATCATTCCATATTGCAACTAGTAATAAGGACAAATATAAACTATGAACATATTTAATAATTAACTATAATTTTTTGTATCCATGCACTGTACCATTTTTTGTAAAAATAACTTGTAGAACTCAAGTGACCTAAAAACATTTAAATTCAGTGAGACAATGTAAACTTGGTTTTAATTTATTAGTCATACTTCCTCTACTTCAGTTAGTCGAGAAAGTATGACATCAGCCTTAAATATTATAATTGCGTTCTTTTGAAAAAAAATATAAAAATAACTTCTACTAACACTATTTAAGATGGAGCTAGCATAAGAGATGTGCATAATCATTTAATAAATTAATTTTCATTACATTAATTATCATGCATTAAAAAAGCGGGTTTATGAAGGGAATTAGCTTTATGACACAAAAAATGAAAAGACAAAGAATTAAAGACCGCAAGTCGCTACTAACATCCCTATGCTGCTGCTGCGTATGTTCCTCTGGGCCACGGCGAGGCCATCTGGTTCCCCTGCGCACATAGACGTTGCCTGCTGTCGGAAAGGAAGTTCCAAAAAACATGTTGAATAATTCTTCAGGAGAGACATCAGCTGAAACATAAATAGACAGTTTCTTAGAAAAACTTCATCGTGACAAAGAAAGTTAAAAAAATAAATATAGGAAGTTAATAAAAATAAATAAATAATAGATATCTTCTTGTTTTTCTTTCTCTAGGACACTTCGGTTTATATTTTTAAGGTTAAGGCAACTAAACTTCCATTTTTATCTTTAATCTTTTTTAATCACATCTGACATTTCAAGATAATTTTCCCATCTTCAGAGATTCCTTTATATTTACTTTACTTTGTAATGTGGCACCAATTGTCAAAAATTACAATAACTGTCATATCTATATTTAATTATAATACTTTTTTTGGTGTTACACATTCATTTTCTATATATCACTATACCAACGAACACTTGTTTATTGTTATAATGTTATTAGCTATAATGGAACTTGAAATAACCAAGTATTGGTTGGTTAGTGATATGTAGTAAATGAATGTATAACACAAAAAAAGTATTATAATTAAATATAGATACGACAGTTATTGTAACTTTTGACAATTATAAAGTAAAGTAAATAAATATAAAGGAATCTCTGAAGTTGGAATCTATATAAAAATTGGTTGTCGGATTACTGAAAATGACAAATTACTTTTTTTAAATGACATTAAAAAAAACTTGCAAAAGTTTTTTGTACAATATTTTATTTAATTGAATACTCAATGGTTAGCCGTAGTATAATATTGAACAAAGAGATGGTCCAGGGTGGCGGTCATAAAAAATTTAAATTATAGAACATTTTTATATTTTAGGCTAACTTTTTGACACAACCATGCACTTATGGATCCAGGATTTAATTTTTTGGGGGAGGGGGGGAGGAGCTTCAGCCCGAAAGATTTTTTTAAAAATATATTTATAATAATTACTTTGGAACAAAAAGAAAGAAACTAACTACCTATATGAAATAGAGTTAAAGTGATTCTTTAAGTACTATTAATTGTAATCACACAAGCAATAATACTTTTAGAAGTAATTATTAAACATTTTTTTCATAAGATATGTACCATTATAAATTTTGTCCATTTGACAATTATAAATATGTAAAAAAAAAACAATATACAAAAACAAACAAGCGAAGGCAAAGCTTAGTACATGTGGTAATGGAGGATCCCCAATGAAAAATAAAACTAATAAAATGGGTCATACTCATCCATAATTTGGTAAATGAATGTAAAAAAAAAAAAGTTTGCCAATTAAGGTCAGTATAGCTTTCTCACAATTTTCATTGATTACACAATTACCTATAAAAGATTTAAGAATAAAATAGTGGAAAAATGCCGTTTTTGAAATACAATGATCCTTCAACATTCAGAATTTTGATATCTGTGAATTTTGATCATCAGCAAATACAATGCGTACAGTACGAAATGCGTATTAGACTATTACTGATTATAAAACAAAATCACTTACTTTTAAAGATTTCCCATTATAGTATGTATGTCCATATTGAACAGACATATATACTTAATAGGTACATTTTTAACTGTATGATGGATAGAACAAAAATCCCTTGAAGAAATTCAATTTTTCATTTGTTCTGTGTTAATGAAACAGGCATAGCATATTTTATACAAATACCTTCAAATCCTCTTGTGTACGAATCTCCATGAGATGAATTATGTCTAATTCGTTCATCATCTGTACCGAACAAGTCATATTGCTTCCGTTTTTCCACATTAGTCAAAACAGCTACAGCATTTCCAATAGCTAAAAACAAAACAAAAATCAACAATAAAGTAAAATTTCAATTGCAATAAAAAGTGATAATTTTTTTTTTAAAAAGCATTACGCTTTAATTCTTAAATAACTAAAGATTTAAGTTGAACAAACCTTTAAAAGCTTCAGCTGCTCCAGGAGCCCTATTCTTGTCAGGATGTAAGACCAAAGCTAACTTTTTATAAGCCTTCTTGATATCGGAGTCAGTCGCTTCTTTAGTTATGCCAAGAATTTCATAATAGTCCTTGCAACTTTTAACCCTAAATTAAAATAATGTATTATGTAGACAGATATTAATAAAAATATGACTGTTTATAAAGTATTAACCTAAATGTCTTATTCATAATTGGATAAAACCTTAAGAAACCTATAGAACAGTGTTAGTTCAAAACAAATTGTAAATAAATGCCTAAAAAAATATATTACTAAAATATGAAATTAACCCTCTGTTAGTCGCAGGTGATTGTTACAAATAGAAAAATAACTTTATTTTGGAAAGATGTCAGATCTGTGAAAAGGAATGTAAAGATCAGAAGGCTGAGATCTTGTGGTAATGGACTGAGGACTTGAATAGGAGAAGAGAAGGTTGTAGGCATAAGAACGATGATTGTTGATGATCCTTTCTTTTTCAATCTTTACATAACTTTGTTAAACTATATTCACAACAAAGTGCATCAAGCATCCTCTTCATGGTATTCAGTAATCTTTTATCTGCATATATTGTAACCAATATTAACTTACTCTATTATATAGTTACTTTGTTTTGTATTTGAACAAATACTAATAATCATGTTAATACTTTTTATTTAATTTATTAATTTTGTTATGTGAATATCCTATAAGTCTTAACCTCATTTTATAACTTTATATCTTGTTCTTTCTAGCCTACATGAAGACTGGCATTGTTGGGTCGAAATGTAGGCTTAATAAACTTATCCTTTTCTCTATTTATATTAGTGACCTTCCTGATGCCATTCAACATTCCTGCTACCATCTATATGCCGATGATTTCCAAATCTACCAATCATTCTAACCTTCTGAGGACATTGTCTGCATCGACAGATGGGCAGAAATAAATGAATTAAAGATAAATGCAGATAAAAATAAGGCAATTTTCATCGGGTCCAGACATCTCATTAGATCCCTTCCTTACTTTCCTCTACTTTACTTCAATAATCGTCCCATCAATTTTTTTCCTACAGTCAAAAACCTAGGAGTAACCTTTGACCAGAACCTCTCCTGGAATAACCATATCTCCCAGATTACCCAAAAATCCATAACTGTTCTTAAATAACTCCTAAGATTCCTTGATTATATTCCTCTAAAAACCAGACAGCTCCTTGTAATCTCCCTTATACTCCCCCACTTCGACTACGGCTGTTGGGTGTGTGGAGGGCTATCTGCTAGGCTAGAAATGAGACTGAAGAAATTCATGAACTTTTTCATAAGATACATCTTCAGAATCCCCAGGGGCGTTCACATGTTTCATTCTGGTACACAGAGTTGAAATGGCTTTATCCAACTTCCCGACAATTCCTCCTTGGTGTTTTCCTTTTCCAAGTCCTCAGAACCGAAAACCCTCCCTACACCCTAGAACTCCTTACTCTGCGCTCCTCTATCCACTCTCTCAATACTAAGTCTCAACCTATAGATTTACATATTCCCTCCCATAAAACTACTTCCTTTAGCAAACCCTTCATCATTCGTGCTACCTCCTTTTGGAACTCTCTTCCTACCTCAATACGTCAATCCTCATCCACAAATTCCTTCAAACAACTCCTGTTACACCACCTACTCCACATTCAAACTTCCACTAACAAGTAAAATTACTTGTATCTGTATACTGTTCAATTTCAATATACTGCACAATTGCAATAACAATAAGCAGTTAATTAGTTTGTATTTTTTATTATCCCAAGCTAGACTAATACCCATAAATTTGTAACACTGTTATTATTCTTAGGGGACTGTAGTCCCAGAATAAAATTATTTTTTTCATTCAATAAGTAGTTGTTTTACAACTATCGCCGCAGACCATCCGTTTCCTCACCCCTCGTCATACAACGGCCAACTAGTGAGCATCCTATGCTTCCACGTTATATTAACATTTGTTTAATGAAGAATATACCGTGCAAATCATTCAGGCAACTAATAAAACTATTTAAAACCAAGCAGGATTGTTTGTAAATAAAATATAAACACTTATCTAGACATGATGTTTAACAAGAGATGAAATGGTAAACCAACAATTGAGGGTAAAGAAAACATTAATAAAGATAACACAGAGTTACTTAAAGCTAATTGGAATTCAACAGCCAAAAAAAATTAAGGAAAATTTAAAAATAAAAAATAACCTCTTAACAGCCTCCAATTGTTCTTTAGAATATTCCACTTCAGGCATTGTAGTTTCCTTTTTCACACCTGAAAAATATTTTTTAAAAATTAATTAATTTTAGTATTATATATATAAATGAAATATCAATAAAAAGTTATTCAAATACTATTCATTCTGTTTTATAAGAAAAATCAACTTAAAACTTTTAAAATAATAATTTCTCCAACCTAATTGCTCTCTATAAATACATATCCCCACCCCACATATATTATAACAGTAAGGCTCAAAATCGGTTTTGTACCAAACATAAGCTCTAGTCATGCTCAAATACCATGAATGGGGTACCATTGGATTCAGAATTTTACAGTGGATTCGGGTATTGTACTCTCCGCTTTTGTTTTTCTTTCTAAAATAAATAAAGTAGATATAACCATTTTGTTTGGCTTCAATACTTGAACGATGGTAAGTCTGTAGATCAATACGGGACAAATTGAACTTCGAAGATTTTTATGTGATACACACCAAGATTCGGATAGTTCATTCTGAACTATCGGGCTCTGCATTTTCAAGTCCAAATCGTATTTTGAGTTCAAATTGTTTTATAACAAGCACGGAGCCTCACTGAATAATTTGAACAATCCAACTTAAAAATCAGTTCAGCCATTCATTACAAAAATCATGATATACCTACAATAGGTCAACCTAAACACATAGCCCCCTCCCTTCTCCCCCATGCCTTCGTCATAGCCAGATAATAAAATACTAATTAAAAAATATTATAAAGAAATTTTGTAAAGTCCTTCCTTAATTAACCTTAACATAAACTAACAGATAAGTAATTTAGAAAAATAACAATAGGAGAATCTGAATTGCGTGATAGTTTGACATTGATTGCTATATCTCAAGTTTATCTGAAAATCAATCCACATCTAGATAAATTCTATTTTGAAACAATGGGCAGGCATGACGATTATACTAAAGGTAATCTATAAGTATTCCTTTTTATGCCTCATACCCATGCTGAAGATATTCGTCAGTAGTACAAGTATTAATTAAATCTGAACATATAAGATCTATAATGAAATATCATTCTTAGCTCAAACAAAAACATATACATTAAAAGATAAGTCAAACACATTTCAACAGAATTAATAGCTATATTTATAACTATGGTTTACATAAATATGCCAACATATAAGACATTCTATTTCATGCGGGCCATAAGCACAATTTTTAGTGTACATAATGGGAATAAAATCTCATTTTGATCTTGATGCAACCCTAAATTTTTCCAAAAGATTTTGAAGAATATACATTAATTTTAAAAGGAGAAACATGTTATAAATATCTGTTAATATTTCAAAACAAATTTCATCATAAAAACTTATTTTACACAAAAAAATCTCAAAACATATATAAGCATTAACATACATATTAGTATCTAATTTAATTTAATTTATTTTTTAACAGATTATGGGAATTGTGGACAGTTAAAGAGTATTCAACATGATTTTGGAAAATTATTTTGCAAAAATGATAAGAAATTAAATGAAAAACATCTCTCAAGAGGTTCATAAACTCTAATAATATTATTTAATTTTTTCCAATAACGAAATACAACTTTCTGCAAAACTACAAATTTCTAACATTTAATAAACAAAGTAAACACAAGTTTATAGAAAAGAAAATGTTTTGCTCTGATGTAAGGAATAATTTTCACTAAAATGTTCATATCATTCAGGAAAACCTTGTGAATACATATTCATGTTTATGATGGGAGTGTCAGTGGCTGTTTAATAGAAAACAAATTTAGGATTATAAGATTAAGGTAGTTCTAAAAAATTTATTGTTGGGAACCACTGCTGTAGCAGATCATGAAATTAGCAGTTTTATAAGGGTGGAGAAACTAACTATATATGCTTTTATTAGATGGTTGGGAACAGTAGTAAAGTGAAATACTCACAAAAAATAAATCTAAAAACTAACTGCATAATTGTGATTAAAATTACTAAGTTTTCTAATAACGCTTAAACAAGAAAACAACATAATTTCAACTTAACCAAAATAATTTTAACACAATTCAAGATAGAACTATGTCATTGTCTTAGGTCTTATCATGATGATGCAAGATAGCATCGCTCATAATTAATAATCAAATAGTAATATTAACAAAACTTGTAACACATAACATTAAAGTAAATGTTAGAAGGAAGAGCAAACATATAAAAATGCTTAAAAACAAAACAAATGTGTTATATTGAAACTACAAAGAAATAAACAGGAGAATAATTAGAATGATACATCCTGATAAATGGAAAGTCTTGACAAATAAACAGAGGGGTAAGATGAAATATTAATAAAACAAGAAGTGAATCTGCAAATTAGTTCAAGGCAATTACAAAAGTTTGTATTATCCATGATAAAAATGAAGTTATTATATACCTGTATTTGCAGATTTTTCTTTCGCAGATGAGGTTTCTTTTCTTCCAGGATTAGAAGCACTCTTAAGCTTTTGTAAACTTTCTAACAGATCTGTAAAGCATTTCTAAATCACTAATAAGAAGCACATTAATAATGAATCATTTCCTTTGGCTTCAAACTAAGGTAGTACATTTATAGACTACTTGAAACCAGTAAATTTGCAACAAACACCAACCTTTTGCTTTTTGAGTGGGATATAATCTCTCACTTTTTAATAAATATTTTTCTGCTTCGTCTCTTTTCCCTTCTCTAATATATCTCTCAGCGATACCGATGCACAGTTCAGCAGAGTCCTTATTCCCTTCCATTTTAGTTCACCTTATCAAAACTATCACTTCAATTAACTAATGAATAACATAAAAACCTTCTTACCTACAAGATGACCAAACGCCTTTAGGATATTACAAAACAGCCATCAACAAGTGATATATATTTGTTGATATAAATTACATAACTGTTCAATATTTTTTTTAATAATTAAATTCAGTCAAAAAAATATGTACATCATTTTTGTAAATTACATGAGAGAAATATGTTGAAAAATAATTTTTCACACTAACATTATTTTAAATGTTTTATTTTGCTCTTAATTAGTTTAATTTATTGTAATAATGTTATATTATTTGTTTATTTATGATTTTAAACAATCAATACTTCAATCATACTTGAAGCGTTCTACCCTACTCACGGCTTCACTGTTTTCGCGGCACTTGGCTTCGGTCTGCATTACTGTTAAATGATGTAATTGGGACGCTGTGTTTTGTGTGTTTGCCGATTGTTTTATTGTTTATTTCGTTTTTAAAGTGACAGTGGTGACTCAAATACCATGAAACCTAAGTTTTCTTCTGGTGATAAAGTGTTTGCCAAGGTAAGAGGCTATCCACCATGGCCTGCCCGTGTAGAAGGTTTAGCTGACGAGACTCCTAACAAAATGAAATATCACATATACTTTTATGGAACTGGTGAAACAGCTGTAGTAAAAGGTGAGGACATATGCTCTTTTGTTGAAAATAAAACCAGGTTAGGGAAACCTAAAAAGCATAAAAACTTCACTGAGGCACTGATTCAAATTGAAGCAGAATTGTCTCCTGAAGAGCAACAAACTCTATCAGAGTTGGAACAAAGTTTTAAAGAACAGACAAGTCTTAATGATACTACTGGTGATGATGCCAAGCGTTCTTCAACCACTGGAAAGTCAAAGACATCGCTCTCTCCGACCCCTAAAGTAAACAAACCCAAAGAGAAGAAAAGGAAAGTAGACTCAGACTCTGGGACTGAGGAAGATCAGAAGAAGAGAGCTTCAGTTGTCAGTAATTCAGATTTAGAACATAAAAATGCTGAGGTGATGTCTCGTTCGGGAAGAAAAATTAAGCCAAAACGATTTGCTGATTTTGAAGATGAAGGAAATGAGGAGAATTCGCCAGTGCATCAGCCTGTCAAACCTATTTCCAAAGTTGCTCCAGTTAAAAAAATTGACAAAGATGAAACTGGTGAAGATAAATATGTTATTGCTTATGTAAACAATGAGAAAGTAAAAATACCATTGGGTTATAACCAACCCCAGTTTTCTTCTGAACAAAGGTTGAACGAGTGGAAGTTCAAAGAAAGAAGTTATGCTAATTCTCTGAAAAAACGTTTGGAATCTGGAGAAACATTGCCGTTTGAAATTGATGCGCACATGTTTAAGTGGACTAAGGAGAATGCAGAACAGCCCGTCATTCAAGACAATTTAATGAGGACTGAAATAATTAGAACTGAAACTTTACTTCTAGAATTAGATTTAAATATAAGAAGTGCTTTGAATATTAAAAATGCGGATACTAAAAAGTGTTTAACCTATCTTGAACAACTTAGCCAGCTGAAATTAACTGCACTTATGTTGAAAAAACATCCAGATGTTGTACATACCATTAAGAAGGTTAGGAGGTACGTGGGCAACGTTCCCAGAGCGCTGACTGAAGAAGAAGAACAGGCATTTCATAGAGATGCTGAAGAAATTAGGAATAAAGCAGAACATGTTTATAGCAAATTTCAGAGCTTATTTTTCTTTCCAAACAATAAATCTTTTTGGGATGCGTTTGAGGAAGAAAGAGAAAATTTTGATAAAATCACTAAACATATGAATAGTGAAGAGATAGTTGGAATGATTAAAGAACCAGAATAGAAATTTCTTGTTTTATTTAAGATTATGCAAGTTTTTGTTTTTATAAGATACATTAACTGCACTTATTTTAAGGAGATAATGAATGCATCATGTTGTAAATTTATTAGTGATAATATCAGCATACCTACCTTTCTATTATTGAACATTACTTTCCATTAAATTATAGTTATAAAGTCATTTATGAAGAAAATAAATATTTAATTACATGTAACCAAGGTTCTGTGAACATGCGATTTCAGGTTCTGTATATGGTGTTTAATTTTTTTTTTTTTTAAGTTCTTCCTGTTAACATTCATGACTGTATAAGATGACTGAATTTTTCTTTCCTTATTTGTTTTTTAAATTTTAGTTTAATATGATTTACGTTTTAGTAATTTTTACGAGTCTTGAATTGCATGTCCTCTTACTTAATTTTATTAATTATGGTTTACCATTTAGTTGCTTCCTGTATCAAGAATAGTGTAATATGTTAATATATATATATATATTTCAACATTTTTATTTGTTGGATGTAAATAACATTATTTGAAAATATATAAATTTGATAAGTAAATGCTGTTTTTTCTTTGGTTGACGAATACTTACATCTATGTAAATATGTTGATATAAATTTTCTTTTGTTTAATACTATTATTGTTATAATTTTATTTGTAAAATAAATAAATTGCTGTCATTTTTCTGAATACGTTATTAATTTAATTCTATAATATTTTTATATGTTCTAAGTATCAACTTCAATGGTTCAAATGCCGATTTTATCTCTATAGCTTATATTACTCTTGATATATTTACATAAGTTTGAAACCGAAAATTTATGTTAGTGAAGGGATTTATTTAAAAATTAATACTTCCGGAGAATTCTTTTGTTTCACTTAGTAGGTTGCTATTGTTAATAATTTAATGTTTTTCTAGTGCTTTTGCTGTTAAAAGAAAAATAGATTTAAATCTGGGAGCATTAATTGTTTCTTGGAGTTAAGTTAATATAATAAATATTACACCACATAAGTTTTCCTTTTCCATTCTATGGTTATAATATTCAAAATTGGACTGCTCATGCTACTTCAATAAATAACTCTTTCCGATGTTATCCGTTTTAGTTTTCACAGAAGTGGCACTGGTTCAATTTCGCGGTGGGTGAGTTAAAATTTTTTCGCAAATCCGTTGTCACAATTTGGAGGGAATAGGTTTGCTGCCATAGGATAACCCATACTTTCTGTTCTGTTCAGAATATGTATATAAAGATATTAAGCCCAAATTAACAAACACTAAATTTTTTATTTATTAATGTTCTATAGAATTATTACCATTTAGTAAAAACTTAAACGATTTCGTAATTCAGACCACCTTTTGTTGGTTGTGCAGTGAATTCATACTAGTATTGTATAGTTTTAACCATTTAAGTCTATTTAGTATTCTTTATGTTTGGATTCCATTGTTTTGACTATATCATATTGGTTAGTTATACACTTTCTAATCCTCAGACTTCATTTTGTTAAATAATAAAAAAATTCACTTTTAGTTTGAATCGTTTTCCTAAATAAAAGCCATTGAAGTATCTAAAAGCCATTCATTCCATTCAGATATCTTTGAAATATCATTTGTAAAATATTTAGTTGAGTAAGCCTCAGGTTAGTTTCCTCTGTGAAAGTTGAATAATGCTAAAAATTAAATATTTTCTTTTCAATAGATGCCGACAAACATTACAAAATGAAATATGTAACCTATATGTTCAAACATCTATATGTAGCGGAATACAAAATTTATGTTTATTTTCCTGTGGGTAATGTTCTTTGATTCCTCTGATCTGAATATGCTTTTTAAAAAAAAAAAAAATAATATGTGATAACTAGACACAGTAACTTTTTAAGATTTTTATTAGCAACGTTTCAATCCTAGCTCGTAAGCCATCAGCAGAGATATATTATGATATAACAGATAATAATGATAAATAGTGATTTATAAGCAAAAATTATTACTAATGTAGATGTGAATACGTGGTGAGATATTCACATCATTCTACATTAGTTATTATTTTATTGTTATTACTGATACATCATTATTAACTATTATATGTTATATCATATTATATCTCTGATGTTATAAATTTACAGCCCCGATGATGACCCACGAGCATGGGTTGAAATGTTGGCAATGAAAAAATCTGAAAAACTGACTACATCCTATCTATCACCCATGATATGTAGAACAATAGACTAGCTTACCTTACTTAAAAAAATAATAGTGTTTAGATGTGTCTTACTGAAATTAAATTTTTGCTACATATGGTTCTAAAAAAGGAAATGGTTATTTCAAGTTTTTAAAAAAAGCCTATTTCTATATTATTTGAAACTACATCATTAATTTAATCAATAAGAAAAAAATAATTAAGAGTATTGTTTACAAGGTAGAGGTGGGTCAGTAACCAATATGTTAACGGTTGTTTCCTTCATGCTTCAATTCAATGATATTTAAGTTGAAAAATAACATTTATGAAAATAAATGGTTACCATGTTTTGTTATATATTTATATACATTAGCTAGTATTTGTGTTATTACCTTTAAAGATGGTTTTACACTGGAGATTACGTTGTTAATAGTACAAGTTACAATTTTTAGAAGATTCACTTTTATAACATCTTTTTAAATACCATTGAATTTCATTTAATCGTGGTTGAAAATGCTTTTAACATTTTGCTATCGACGTCATAAAAAGTAGGCATCAAAATGTTAATAACAATATTATTGGGCAGCACTATTTTACATGAAAATTAAGTGTTTCTCTCTCTAACATTTTTGCTAAAAATGTGGTTAATAATATTTCGCGATTGTCTGGTATAAACAATTGGAATAAAAATATCAACAGCAATAATGTTATTAACATTACACTATAATTGTTAACCATGTTATGTTAATAAATAGGATTGGCTGGTATTCTGATAAATTTTAAAATTATTAATTTGTTCGTAAGCTAAGTTAGATGCTCTAGAGGATAGATAGGTTATTGTTTTAGAAGTATAGCAATAAATATTTCTCTATTGTTACTATTTATTTATTAATTTTTACTTCCAAATTCAATCTTAATTGGCTTTTACAATGCAGTTAAATAGGTACATTGAGTAAAATTACTTCATTCTATATATCATCTTGCTAAAAAAAGAATTACAGAAACTAGGACTAAAAATCAAATAAAATTTTAAAAATGTAATTTAACTAATGACAATAAATGTAAGAATTGTGATAAATTTAATTTCTAATTTAATTTTATTTTTTTTTATTATTTTAATGGAATTTACAACTGTATTACATAGAAAATACAATAAGTAAATGTGATTGGTAACATGACATATACAACATCAAGGGAAACTACCCATTGGTAGAACTCAAATTAAAGTTCTGTATTAGAAGATCCCGAGGCCATCTTCTTTTCAGATGCCTCGGAGGGAAATTGATAATTAAGTTCAATAACAGATCTAAATTTTTTTAAAAATACAAATTAAAACCTCAACATGAAAAATTGTAATTTAGTTTTTATAACATAAATTAATTGTCTTTGTCAATTAGCTATTGAAATAGCTGATAATTGTTTAAAGAAATTATTGAAATCAGCATCTCTGCCCAGCGTACAAAGCATTCATCCATTTACAGTTGTAAGTAGTTGTTTTGTAGAGATCTACATTATTATTTTGATCATATATAAAGAATGGTGATTGATAAAATCAGAAAATAAAGAATTATAAAATAGTTCTTTTCTTCATCATTCTGTACTTTAAAATAACACAATTATATAAAATGATAGTTATACGATAAAGCATAGGTCTCCAAACTATGACCTGCGAAAGTTACTGTGATTATATAGTAAAATTTTAAAAACTAGTTAAAAGATATGAAATTTAGTAAATCACTCAAATACGAGGTTACTACATTTATTTCATGAATTGTTTCTCTTAAAAAGCTCATTCCACGGCTGATTTATAGAACAAGATATTTATTTTCATTACAAGCCATAGCCTGTGGCAATTAAAAGGAAGTTTCAATATGAATAAATTCTATTAATTTTGTTATTAAAAAAAAAAGTGAATATTATATGAACGAGTTAAAGTTGTAAGGCACTGTGTTGTCATCAGTCCTAGACCACGACAAATGGCTTCAGAGAAAAAAAAATCCCTGTTAATAGATTAAGTAAATAAGTGCTTCCATAAATATTTTGGTATATTCCTTTTAAATCTTTTGATGTTTCTTGGTATTCTTCACTTTCTGAAAACATTTATTATAAAAAACAATAAGTTGATCAATAATACCTGACAATATAATTTTACAACTCACATTACTCAACTAATATTATGATACTAATTACCTTATATTACAATTAAATAATTTTTTGTCAATCTGAAAAAATTTAAATATTTCTGAAGATGTAAACCAACAGTATTATGTCCAATGTAACATTGCTAAAGCTCCACTTCTATCAATCCTTAGGAAACTATATTACTTTTTTCACTCTCAGATATTTAAAAATATTATATTGTATTATAATTACAGCCAGGGCCAGATCAAGAAAAATTTTGGTCCTCAACAAAATATATTAAACAAAAAGATAAAGCAAACTAATCATTAAAGTATACAACTAAGAAGCAATTTTATTTTTAGTATTGTTCAATTATTACAAGTATATATTTTTGAACCTGAAAAGTTTTAGGCGTAAGATACAGCTAGACCTTGGGGTCCTAAGACGGCGCTTGCCACTTAACCTGCCTCAGATAACATTACATGGAATAAATCAAATAACAACTTTTTGCCTGTTAATTATTTCTTCAAAAATAATTTTAAATTTCATTTTAAGTTTTAAAAAATATCTCTATGTTTTATATTGAGAATAAAAGAAAATCTTCAATAATTCAAACTTTAATATTCATACCAGAAATAATACTTTGTGCAAGTTTAAACACTTAAGTTTATTTTGGCTTATCGATGTAAAATGCTTGGGTCATTATTGTCCCACCTAAAATTAAAATGACTTCAATACATCCAAATTAATCAACATTAAATAAATTGTCTAAATGTTATTAGATATATAATAAAGTATTGATAGATGAAATATAAAATCATTTAAAAGTTTAAAAAATGACACCTCAATGTCAAATAGGTTTTGAGAATCATAATAATTGTATGTATTTTTATATATTATTTCTTACTTGTATTTTTATAATGGTGAAGAAATCACTCAATTGAAACAGCCATAAGATGTAAGAGTCCTGATGAAGGCCTACAACTTAGGTCAAAACATCAGCACAAAATAAAATAAATAATTGTTTACTTGTGTGTCCTCTCCGACTGCAATCCCCGACTAACTCCCCAACCATTTGTATTTTTACTTTCACTTAGCTCAGTATAATATATATAGTAAGGAAAAGTAATATTAGAGTTATCAACGGCGATATACGTTTTGAGGTTCTCTCAGTC